CTAAATATTCTTAAAATTAAAAGTTTGTTGTAATTTGGAAGTGTGTAGGCCTTCTTGCATTATTATGCTGTTACATTATGATTATATATTCAGTGACATAAAATGGTCTTTAAAATGACAATAATATCGCTTATCGCAATTATTTCTGGGGCAATATATCGCACAACAAAAAGTTGTTATCGTGACAGGCCTACCCGCTGCTCCGGGTGTGTGTTCACGGTGTGTGTGTTCACTGCTGTGTGTGTGCACTTTGGATGGGATAAATGTAGAGCACTAATTCCGAGTATGGGTCACCATACTTGGCCACATGTCACGTCACTTTCACTTTCAACAACAGCAATCCAAGTCAGTTACTGAAGCAAATGTAAATACCAGCAAGTTTCATGATTTAGCAATGCCAATGAAATTAATACTACATTGGTTTAGCTTCAAAGTCAACCAAAAATAATCACCTAACAAATAAAACGATCAATGATAAGTAAAGGAGCTTGGGTCACAAGAACTTTACTCAACTCAAGGTCTCACTGGTTGGTCTTAGACAATATTTAACCATTGAGAGGAAATTGCAGTCTACTTATAGTCAGACTGGTCCAAGTATACTATATTTTATATAGCTTTTAAAGGGGTCATATGATGTTGCTAAAAAGAACATTATTTTGTGTATTTGGTGTAATGAAATGTGTTTATGCGGTTTAAGGTTAAAAAAAACACATTATTTTCCACATACTGTACATTATCGTTTCTCTTCTATGCCCCGCCTTTCTGAAACGCGTCGATTTTTACAAAGCTCATCGGTCTGAAAAAGCGAGGTGTGCTCTGATTGGCCAACTATCCCGTGGTTACGCCCCTTACCATACTGTGATGCCCTGTCAGGCCGGAGCGACGAGACAAAAACATTAAAACCCATTATAAACGAGGCATTTGTTGCATCCAGTGGGGACAGCACGGATCAGCTCTAGGCATGACGAAGCAGATATGTCCTCTTTTGGAAGGCCAAACGAAGTAGTTTCGCTTTCACAACGAAACACAGCGTCTTCACGACATGGCGGCAGCTACAATACTACAGCGAGAATAAAAGTTACGCCTTCTTTCTTTGTGTGAACATTTGGGCGGCGTTATGCAAATCTTCTCACATCGTGACGTAGACATGTGGGGTGTGTTAGAACGAGCCGTTTTAGGTAGGCGTGGTTGACTCTTAACTTTTATAAAGAATATCTCTTTGGATTTGAGACTTTAGTCTTTGCAACTTTACAGATCTTCTTAATGCACCAAGAGCTTGTAACACTTCAAAGAGAAAGGAAAAATTGAAATCGCATCATATGACCCCTTTAAAGCCAAGACAATAGACATTTAAGAAATCAATTAAATTACAAAAGTGATGCAAAAAAAAAAACTAAAGATAACAGATGCAATAACTGCAATAAATAATGTGCTGAAATATACTGTCAATCTTTCATTTAGCCTTTGTGCCCACTGCATGCTTTAAGGCATTGCTAAATACACACTGCCAAAAATAATTATTTATGTACCAAGTAAACTCAACATAATCTTAAGCAACCAGTCTTATAAAGCCAAAATACTTCACTGCAGATCTGTCTTTAAACATAACACAGACATCTAGCTTTGATAAGGGCTAACATCTAATGATCGGTCAACACTGGGCTGGCCATTAGATACAAAATGTCTGGTTTAAAGATGTGCATACGGCAATGACAACAGTTTTATTTTTGAGTGAACTACTTCTATTAGCACTACTATTAGTACACTACTACACAATAACATTCTATTAGTACACTATTTATGTTTCTGAAAGATGTCTCTTATACTTACCAAAGCTGCATTTATTTTATCAAGAATACAGTAAAACATTAAAATTGTGAAATATATACAATTATAAATAACTATTTTCTATTTTATTATATTTTAAATCTAATTTATTCTAGTAAATTTTCAGCAGCCATTTCTCCAATCTTCAGTGTTACATGATCCTTCAGAAAACATTCTAAAAGGCTGATTTCTTATTATCAAAGTTGTAAATGGCTATGCAGCTTAATATTTTTTTGAAAACCATGAAACCTTTTATTCAGGATTTTTTCGATGATTAGAAAGTTCAAAAACATTTATTTGAAATATAAATCTTTTTAACATTATAAATGTCTTTACTGTCACTTTTAATCAATTTAATGCAACCTGGCAGAATACAACTATTTCTAACAAAAATACAAAATAAAATAAAAAACAAATTACTGACCCCAAACTTTTTAACAGTGTACAAGAAGTCAACATCCCAGCAGAACTTCAGAAATGTACTTAATCTGCGTCTTGGACATAATATGTGTTCTCTTCATTTTATGGCTTTGTCTAAGAGCTCTGTCCAGTTACTGATTAAACCAAACCAAAGCAAGCAAGCAAATAATAACATCCTCTGGGCCCCCCCCCCCAAAATATCCGTAAAAGCCCTGCGCAACTGATTTAGAAGCTCCTAAAAAAGGAGTGCCGAACGAACAATGTCGTTCTCACCACTGTGATTTACAGCCAGTCTAACAAACAGATTAAAACATTTTGTTGTGTGTTATACATTTCACTTTATTTCTTGTTACCCAAATTTATCTTGAAGATGACTGAAGGAAGACAAGTTCTTATCAGATTAGGCATGTCAACAAACCAACCATCATAAGCACTAACATTTTTTGCAGTGTGCAACTGTGTTAATTTCCTGTCTGTACTGTGAAGTATATGGAAAAACTTGTGCGCAGCCTACGCACAGCCGCAAAGTAAAAGCATGGATACTGGCTACTCACCCTGCTCGCGCCGTTTGATCTGCTGGATCTGGTCCACGGTGCTCTTTAAGATGTGGCATTTGTCCGGTTTCACGTTCAAGCTGGCAATGTCGCTCATGTTGGCTGACAGTAACTCAGCCAGTTCGTCAATGTAGCGGCATTCCAGCTCCCGCCGTCGCTTCTCCGCACTACCACACACAAACATGAACAAAGAGAATTGTAAATTTTTTTTTAGAACTTACTTAAAAGAACCTTAAGCACTGTACTTTACAATAATACATTATGTATTTTGAAATATTTTTTAATATATATATAAATATATATATATATATATAAATATATATAT